TTTTTCGAAAATATTTTCTCAATATTTCTTTTAAATGTTTAACTGTTTTTTGTTGTTTTGGTGGGGGGGGGTATTTACTTTTTTAATTTTTTAAAATTTTCTGAATATTTTACTTGTGACATTTCAAATCCCATAATTTTTGTTTTTAAGTCATACAGCTATTTATAAGTGTAGAACATGATTTTGGAAGATTGTGTTAGTTTTCTAAGAAGGGATTGCCTGTTTTCCTTGAAGAGCAGCATTCAAGGTCATAGCTTTTATCTGGGTTTGAACATCAATCTTTAACTCTGGTCAGAATTATATTACTATAATAAAGTCACTCCACTGACTAACCAAATAACTATCAATGCAATAAACAATGGAGTAAATCTTTAAAAATATAAATGTTTTCCTCAAGCAATTCATAGACATTTTTTTTAGTCACTAAAAATTTAATATAGCACAAAGCTAAATGGTATGAATGATATTCTGAAATAAAGTTCAACCAAGACAAAAGGCCGAGAGCCACTCAAGATAGAGGGCTACTGAATGAGTTGTATGATAGGGACATAGGAAGAGAAGATTATGGTGGATAGATAATGATGAACCTAGACTTGAAGAGGTTAAGATTGCAGTGTCTAAGGAAGCATCCAAGTGGGAGTCTTTTCTACAAATTAGTGGTTTTTTGGAAGAAGCTGAGTGGAACATCCTTCCTATCAATAGAATATATAGGGAATTAGGGTGATTCAACACCCCCACCTGATGTAACAAGGGGAGGGGTTTTGGCTGCAAAGGTTTAAGTTGTTGGTACTATAGTGTTGCACCAACGTTGCAGATAAGATCGGTTAGACCACTTGCTTTGAAAATTGGCATTTAAAATCCTGGCTTTTTTTTTATCATTTCACCCTAAGCAAGGCAATAAAGCCATTAAGATGCAAAGGGTTACTGAGTGTGAAAAAATATGATAAAAAGAACAACATTATTAAGGAGGGAGGACAATAAAAGAACAGGAATTAAGAAGATGGAAGATAATGATTGACATTGCATTTCAATTTTTGAACATCAAATTTGACTGGGAAGCAAAAAGCCAAAAGAAAGTTCCACAAGTTACAATTACATCTTAGCCATTTTTAAATGTAAAATGATGGGACTATTCCACTAATCTAGTTTGTAAATTCTACATACCAGTAAGGAAAGCTAATCTGAACAATTACCATGAAAATATTTCTAGAAAAGGTACAGGGAACCTATGTTATGGCAATGAGAAAGTGATTGAAACCAAGATGCCAAATCAAGACAAATAACATTGCAGATTCAGGCCGAAAATAGAGTACTAGTGCCATATATGGACAGGAGCTGCCCAGTCTTGATAGTGTCCAAAAGCATCTCCTTGTGGGTGATGAATTATTCCCCACCCCCACAACCCCTTTCTTAAAGACAAAATGTCACAAGCCTCAAGCTGCTCCATCACTATTTCTATGGAAAGTGTTCAGATGAATTAGATTTCTTAGTTCCACCATTTCTAACTTTCATGGCTAAGACCCACCCTGCCACACCCATTGTAATAAACTGCACTGATTCTCTTCATATCACATTGGTGAGATGTAAGTTCCACTTAAGCAGCTTAATCTCATGAACCTCTGCTCTGTGGAACCGATTCCCAATTGGACGTTTCCCCAATCACTACAAGCTTATAAATAAAATTACTCCTTTCCAAATAACTTTTATTATTATTTACTGTTTATTTAACCTTTAGGGATTTTTCCACCTGCTTCCTCCATGATGGGGAACCGATACAAAGCCACCTTTTAAAACAACCCCCATATGACCTTTTTATAGTCTGTAAAAGTATTACCCAACAATGTTTATTAATTTCACATGAACTACTGCTTTATGGAACTGACTCCCAAGAGGATGCTTCGCCAATCACTACAATCTTAATCTGTTCAACTATTATCTACCACATATCTGCAAGCACAATACCTCTTGCTCAGTAATTCTCTATCACGTATGGCTCTTGAGCCTTGTACAGGATGAACATCAATGTTTAATAAAAGCTTTGTTGTGTGTTATTCTGATTCTTCTATCTTATTTCTTCTAGAAAAGGTCAGATTCTTTAGAAAAAGTTTAAATAAAATCTTTATACCTGTATGTCTTAGTTAAAAATCTGTTGTGTACAGCTGATCTTAAAACAGGATGAGGTGAGTGTCCTCTTTGTGGAAAGCAAAAATTAACTAATATAAAAAAAAAAAAAAACATAGAATTTTGACCCACGTAATTTTTTTTTGTTCTTGTTGTTACTTCTTTTTTTTCTTTATTTTTTTTTTTTTTTTTTTTTTTTTTTTTAACCATAAAACTAAGAAAACTGGTTTGATCAGGTTTTCACATTACCAAAGTGTGAGGGACAAATCAAATAAGTCATTTTACACACACACACACACACACACACACACATATATATATATATATATATATATATATATATATATATATATATACATGCAGACACACACACACCACCACCACCACTGCCGTCAGGTAAAAAGTAAAATACTAACTACAAAAAATTAAACAATGAGCAAGTGAAGAGGCATAAACAAATATTTACTTTAACATTTAAGCATTAATTAAATATATATACACACACACACACACACACAAAAAAAAAAAAAATATGGACAAAACTTACCGCAATGATAAGTGTATAAAAAGGAAAAAAATCAAAAATATAAGCAGTAAATGGCTGATACCCCCTGAAGAGTGTATGCACATGTCCGCCTATGAAACTCTGGAATCAGGATGTTGAAGATAACATCAGTCAGCAAAACTTTTACTCATGTTGGTCCTCTCTCTCCCTATATATATATATATATATATATAAAGAAAGAACAGTAACATATATAATCTGGTGTTCTTATAGATATTTTTATTTTTACAAAATAGTGCTCAATGTAAATTTACAGAGCATTAATATTATAAATTGATTTAAAATATGTTTTTTTCTATGGTTTCAAAAATGGAAGCTAAAAGCTTTGAATTTAATTTTGTAAATAAATTAAAGACATTAGTTCCATTTCATCCTCAAGAAAATTTTGGAGTAACTTACATTCAAAGTGCAACTTAAGTTTCATTTTTCTGCCAATTCATCAGGCACAAATTATTACTTTTGATTTTTAAAAATCAAGAGTAATAAGTTGTGCCTGATGGGAACAATGAAGATACACTTCAAAAGTATGTATATTTATTAATATATATTTGTTAGCTCTGTCTACATTCAATTCTCTTTTGTTTACACCTTAAATTCAATTGAGTAAATATTTATTCACTTACCTGTGTACTCACGCTAACACATGTATGTACGGTTGCTAATATCTAGTTATTTGATTTATCCACATCAAATATATATATATATGAGAGAGAGAGAGACACACACACAAGTTTCATTAAAGACATTTGACGAGGTACTGCGATTAAGCTTTTTATTTAATTTTTCTTGTGTTCGTATAAGTGTTTTCTGTGCATAAAGTGTGTAAAAATTATTTAAATGTTATGCATATCCAAGCACTTACAGCTATTCTTTTAGTTATTAGTGAGGATGACTTCTTTTCTTTTTTTTTTCATTTTTAACTGAATGTATGGATTGTTTATTTTTATGTATTTATCTAGAGTTATACAAATGTTTCAAACACGGTCAGCACATTGTGGCCATGTTCATCGTTGATGTTATTGAATATTGGCTTTTTCTTTTTTATCATTAATGCTTCCATGTTATTAATCTTCTTTTTATTTTTACAAGTGGATGAGGCTATCAACCTTGTATTTTCTACAAGTATCCATAAACTCAGTAAAAAATGAAAAAAATCATCTTCGATAATAGCTTAAAAAAAATAGACTAGCTGATCTCAAAAATGACCTACAATCTGTTGTTAACTGGGGCAAGGAAAGACTTGTTAATTTTGACACCTCCAAAACAAAACTGCTCTCTTTTAATCACTTGTGAGATCTCCTTTTGCCTTCCATCAGCATGGCTGATGATAACTTCCAGGAGAGTGACTTATTGTGATTTCTCTGGTTAACATTTTCTACTGACCTGAAGTGGAAAGATTATATTAAATCACTTGCTCAGCCAGCTGCTAAGAAAATTGGTTCACGGTGTTGTGTTAGATTCAGTTGAGAAAAACTGTCAATCTTATAAGTCTACCATTCTTCCATGCTTTGAATATTGCTGCCACATCTGGCCTGTTGCTCCTGCTGTATATTTAAAGATTCTTGATAAAATCCAGAGAAGAATCTGCAATGTTATTGGTGCTGATCTGGCATCTTGACTTCAGTCACTTTCCTATTGACATAACATAATTTCCTTCTGCCATTTCTATAAATACTTTCATGGTAATTGTTCTGATGAACTTTTCTCTATGGTACCTAGACTTTATGAATTGAAACGCAGTACTAGATTAGGGGGGGCAAGGTCTCATCATTTTACAGTTGAAATAGAGAGACGTAATCATAAGTTCTATGCTAACCTTTATTTTTTACAAAAAATTATTTCCTATGATGAATTCAAATTTTCAATTTTTAAATTGTTTGCTTAATAATGTTATTCACCGGTTATTGTTAACTGAAAGGCTTTTTCCAAAAGCGTTAAAAATGGCTTCTCTACTTTCTTGGATTTCATCTTTTCCAGGATTGAGATGGGGGGTGGAGTGTCAATATTTCTGTTTATTGAGACTTGACTGTTTTAATTGAGCTTTGGTTTTTCCTTTTGTTTTTTTACAGAAAACGACACTGAGAAAGTGACTGTCTTGAAAATGGAATCGGCATGTGATTCTCTTGAAGAAGATAACAATAACAACAACGGCAGCAGCAGTAATAGTAGTAATAGTAGCAGCACAGGGAGCAGCAGTAGTGACACTGACCAAAAGGGCCACAATGGTGATGACCAAAGAATGGAAGATGAGGACGAGGAAGAAGAAGAAGAAGATGATGAAGAAGAAGGAGGAAGAGATGGGGAAGAGGAGGAGATGAAAGACGGAGTGATAGACAATGAGGAAATGACTATTGATGATGATGATGATGATGGAGGAGGGGGAAAAGGAAAAGTGGTCGATAATCCCAAAGTCATCACACAGATTGTCATGATGCCCACCCCGACTCATAGAACGTTAATGGCAGACGACGAGGACGATGACGACAATGACGATGAAGACAACGAGAGGAGTAATTTTGTCATTATGAAGTCGTCAGGTCCTCCTCAGCCAACCAGGACATGGTCAGTCGAGGGCCCTAAACTTCACATACCCCAACCACCACAACGTCTCATCCAGCCTCCCAAACCCCAAGTACAGACCCACAGGCCTCATCTGTCCCAACTGCGAAAACATCAGCAGCTTGGTGGTCAATACCAGAAAGCAAATCCAAAAACCTATTCACAACCAATAAAGGACAATATAGTTAACCCTAGTCATACCGGAATTGCAAGAGGAGTACGGGGGGCTGCCCTTATGGGTCCTAATGAGGTCCCTATCAAGTGTGGACGTGGGAGGGGCATCACACTGAATATGTTAATGAAGGATGGAGTCATTGAACCAGGGGGAGGTTGCTTGTCTTTGGAATACTTGGTAAGTACTCATGTATGTACATATGTGTGTCTGTGTGTGTGTGTGCGCATGTACCATTCTCTGAATATCAACTACTGTAATCTAGTGACAAGAAAATTGTTTTTAACAATAAGGTTCACTCTATACAAGACCCAAGAGCCACTTGAGGTAGAGGGTTACAGAGTAAGAGGCACAGTTTATGTAGATATGTGGGGAAGTTAACAGTTATCCTTACACTTGAACAGGTTAAGATTGTAATGATTAAGAAAGCATCCCCTTGGAAGCCGGTTCCACAAACTATCTCTTCATGGGAAGAAGCTGTTCAAGTGGAACTTAATGCTCATCAATGGAATACACAGGGAATAAAGCTGGTTTACTACAATGTGCCTGATATGATGAGTCTTAGCCATGAAGGTTAGAATTGGTAGTTTGTAGTTTGTCTGAACACTTTCCACAGAAATAGTGTAACAAAATGTTGGCAGCATTTGGTCAGTGGGAAAGGGGTTGTAGGGTGGGAAATAATTCATCACCCACAAGGATGCAGAGAAGCTTTTGGATTCTATCGAGAGACCGGAAAATTCATGTTTGTTCTGTTGTTTTGTTCAAGGATTCTGGCCATGTCGATCATTTTCAGAACCAATGTATTCTGAGTGTAGTAAACAAGATTTTTTTGGCTACATCCTGGTATTCTTTAGAAAGCTGAAAGTTTATAATGGTCCATGGTGATGCATATTAGTTAAGGGGAGTGAGACTGTGCCATATATATATATAGTGTATATTTAGGCAGCAATTTTTCATTAATGCATGCTTCATTAAATAATATACACAAGTTTTGTCTATTTATTTTAAGTAAGTTCTTTCATACGTGAGCAAGAGCAGACTATCATTGTTGTTTTGTCTGTGTGTTGTTTGATATATTGAAATTGTCATCTTTGATAATGGCTTGTGTAAGCCTAAAGCTTAGATTGGATTTAAACATGTATCAATATGGTGATTTCCTTTCGTCTTTCAACAATAATGTGATTAAGCTTATCAGACAATATGAAAGGAACTTACTTAAAATAAATAGACAAAACTTGTCTATATTATTTAATGAAACATGCATTTATATATATATATATATATATATATATATATATATATATTGCTTCCCTTCTTCCCATGATTGCAGTGTATTAGACATAATAGCTGACAGCATAACAAAGCCACTTTCTCTCTATCCATCTGCAAACATCTGTCTTCATTGACTTTAAAGCTCACCATGACACATGGCTGAAACATTCTGAAGGTACTGATGTTGCTGGTATTCAGACATTAAACCTTTCCATTGTCCAATCCCTTACTTAAATCTTGGACTTCTCATTTCTCTCGCAAAACCGAGCAACCGGCTTCTCTTTCTTGATTTATTCCTTACCTCCTCTCCTTGCTCTTTGCAACATTGCTCTCTTGGTAATTCTGACCATTCTGTGGTATCTATTGATATTTTGTTCCAATCCACTATTAAACAGGAACCCCCTCCCTCGATCCACAAGACCTCTTTCCATTACCAGGAAAGCTGATTGGGACTTATTCTGTGATGTTCTCCATGACACTCTTTAGACTGACATCTTTAAACTCTCAGTTGAAAATTGTGCCACTGAGGTTTCTTATGCGTCAAAGCCAACATAGGTGTTTTCATCCCTTCTCAGAAATATCAGGTGAAACCTCAATCCTCTCCATGATTCACACTAGCATCCTCAGCTGCTATAGTACACAGGAACCTCTATTTTTGGCTATACCAGCGTCACAGCTCTCATCACAGCAGGCGCCTATTCGTTGCTGCTTGCAATAAATGTAAACAAGTCCCTGTTTGCCGCGAGAATGAGGCACCGCGTAGCCTCTAACAACTTTGGCTCTCGTTATTACTGGTGGCTTTGTAATACACCATTGAGTAAGTGTAAGGTCTGTATTCTTCCCCTCTTGAATCAGTATGGGGTGTTATCATCCACTGCTGATAAAGCTGAATGCTTTGCCTGTAAATTCTCCTCAAACTCTACTCTTGACTCATCTGGAATATCCCTACCTGACT